CTTTTGAAAGTATTGGATGTTGTCCAAACTGTTTAACGTTTAATACATTGTAAACAAATATATGGTATCTTTAGTTGCTTGAATCACCCAAAAATCACCCCAACAAATAGTACTTACCATTCAGGAAGGTCAGAGCCATTGATAGGATATCGACTGTGACAATAAGACAGAGAGGTGGTCTTCTTCTTTGCATCTTCTCCTGCCATGTTTACCACAACAAATATAATCTCTGCATGCCTGCTATCCTAGAAGTTGTCCACTGAGAGTTTACCAGTGACCACCTTTTCATTCTTTTTCATTTGTTGAGGGTCACTAAGACCAATCATAATGTAGTCCCTCTTTGCATGATAAGATATTTAAATAGACACCGAAAGTTCCCTGCATATTTTAGATGTAAAACAGTTTGAATTTGTTTACAGTGTAATAATGTTATGCTCAATTTAGAATTACTGTGACAATAACAGGTGGTCTTCTTCTTTGCATCTTCTCCTGCCATGTTTACCACAACAAATATAATCTCTGCATGCCTGCTATCCTAGAAGTTGTCCACTGAGAGTTTACCAGTGACCACCTTTTCATTCTTTTCATTTGTTGAGGGTCACTAAGACCAATCATAATGTAGTCCCTCTTTGCATGATAAGATATTTAAATAGATCACCTGAAAGTTCCCTGCATATTTTAGATGCTTACAAACAGTTTGAAGCTTCTGTTTGCCACACTGTGGCTAATAACTGTTCATTGCTGCCAATTCTAGGCTTCAAATGATAGCACAGGCTTGATTTCATGGCACTGTGTGTAGACGGTTGCCAAGGGAACCAACTCCGCTGCTTTGTTATGGTGTTGCCGAAATACCCGAGCAGTGTCCCTAAGTGAAGCCTATACATTTCTGAAACAAAGTGCATGGAAATACGTTCAGCCTTTTTATGTAGTTGTGGCCGAGTGGTTAAGGCGATGGACTTGAAATCCATTGGGGTCTCCCCGCGCAGGTTCAAATCCTGCCAACTACGTCTGAAGGTTGGTTTGCCATTCAGGCAGGCCAGTACAGGGAATAGCAATGGTGACAATCTTCCTCAATGAAACTTCATGTGCATTAATTGCTGTTCACAGTTGTTACATAGCTGCATGAGAATTTGCCAATTGAACAAATGGAATGCTTTTCATTCTGAGTAACCTGAATTTTCATATTTCATATTATTGCTGTTGCTGAAAGGTATCAAAGCTTTCAGAAAATCACATTAAAACTGAAATATATGTGAAACAATCGGGGTAACACCCAGAGATACATTGCAGCAGTCACAGAAGACAGTAAAGTCAAATACACAGATGAGACCGCCCCAACGAGAAGCACTCATGTATGTATTGTAAATCAAGTTGCTCCCTTTGAAGTAATCGAATTGTGGTTTCTTTTTGAAAGTATTGGATGTTGTCCAAACTGTTTAACGTTTAATACATTGTAAACAAATATATGGTATCTTTAGTTGCTTGAATCACCCAAAAATCACCCCAACAAATAGTACTTACCATTCAGGAAGGTCAGAGCCATTGATAGGATATCAACTGTGACAATAAGACAGAGAGGTGGTCTTCTTCTTTGCATCTTCTCCTGCCATGTTTACCACAACAAATATAATCTCTGCATGCCTGCTATCCTAGAAGTTGTCCACTGAGAGTTTACCAGTGACCACATTTTCATTCTTTTTCATTTGTTGAGGGTCACTAAGACCAATCATAATGTAGTCCCTCTTTGCATGATAAGATATTTAAATAGATCACCTGAAAGTTCCCTGCATATTTTAGATGCTTACAAACAGTTTGAAGCTTCTGTTTGCCACACTGTGGCTAATAACTGTTCATTGCTGCCAATTCTAGGCTTCAAATGATAGCACAGGCTTGATTTCATTGATAGGATATCAACTGTGACAATAAGACAGAGAGGTGGTCTTCTTCTTTGCATCTTCTCCTGCCATGTTTACCACAACAAATATAATCTCTGCATGCCTGCTATCCTAGAAGTTGTCCACTGAGAGTTTACCAGTGACCACTTTTTCATTCTGAGGGGCCTGAGTCAAGTGATGTTCATTTCAATGCTTGGAGTCTGATCATAACTTGAGATGATTCACAGTCCAACCCACAGAAGCCAATGTGACAATAGAAGTGATGATGGCAGATCACTCCATGTGAATGAACCAGGTGATTCACACGTTGACAGGCAGTTATCAGTCTAGATTGAGAGTAGGTACACAGCCAAATGATGCTCTCACTGATGTATTAAAAGGTATTGCTCTAAGAGATTTCAACACATGTTTCACTAAAGATATGTGCAAGAATTTTAATAAATATGTGTAAAGAGAAACACTTTAGTTAGAACCTCAACTACAATGAATGTGATTATAGTTTCACACTCCACATTCGTGGTGTCCAAATTCACTGAAAGTTGCCCCAGCTTGTTAGCACTTACTTGAAAACTGCAGTAAATGTGCTACAATTAGGGTGACTTTCAGCGGAGAAACATTGCAGGACTCACACAAAGTAAGTAATATCAAATACACAGATGAGACTGTGTATAAGGTGCTGCGTTCAGGTAGCAGTCTCCCCTGGAGGCTTGGGATCAAAACCCACTTCCGCCATTTGGTTCCTTTGCTGCACCTCTGTTGAGGCGATATTGGTCTGTTTCTGAGAGCTTGTTAAAAGAAATGCATAGCTTTTTGGCAAATTTGCATAACTTTGAGACAGCTAGTCAGGATGGCCGAGCGGTCTAAGGCGCTGCGTTAAGGTCGCAGTCTCCTCTGGAGGCGTGGGTTCAAATCCCACTTCTGACATGCACTTTGTTGAGGGTCACTAAGACCAATCATAATGTAGTCCCTCTTTGCATGATAAGATATTTAAGTAGATCACCTGAAAGTTCCCTGCATATTTTAGATGCTTACAAACAGTTTGAAGCTTCTGTTTGCCACACTGTGGTTAATAACTGTTCATTGCTGCCAATTCTAGGCTTCAAATGATAGCACAGGCTTGATTTCATGGCACTGTGCATAGACGGTTGCCAACGGAACCAACTCCGCTGCTTTGTTGTGGTGTTGCCGAAATACCGGAGCAGGGTCCCTAAGTGAAGCCTATACATTTCTGAAACAAAGTACATGGAAATACGTTCAGACTTTTTATGTAGTTGTGGCCGAGTGGTTAAGGTGATGGACTTGAAATCCATTGGGGTACAGGGAATAGCAATGGTGACAATCTTCCTCAATGAAACTTCATGTGCATTAATTGCTGTTCACAGTTGTTACATAGCTGCATGAGAATTTGCCAATTGAACAAATGGAATGCTTTTCATTCTGAGTAACCTGAATTTTCATATTTCATATTATTGCTGTTGCTGAAAGGTATCAAAGCTTTCAGAAAATCACATTAAAACTGAAATATATGTGAAACAATCGGGTAACACCCCCAGAGATACATTGCAGCAGTCACAGAAGACAGTAAAGTCAAATACACAGATGAGACCGCCCCAACGAGAAGCACTCATGTATGTATTGTAAATCAAGTTGCTCCTATTTGAAGTAATCGAATTGTGGTTTCTTTTGAAAGTATTGGATGTTGTCCAAACTGTTTAACGTTTAATACATTGTAAACAAATATATGGTATCTTTAGTTGCTTGAATCACCCAAAAATCACCCCAACAAATAGTACTTACCATTCAGGAAGGTCAGAGCCATTGATAGGATATCAACTGTGACAATAAGACAGAGAGGTGGTCTTCTTCTTTGCATCTTCTCCTGCCATGTTTACCACAACAAATATAATCTCTGCATGCCTGCTATCCTAGAAGTTGTCCACTGAGAGTTTACCAGTGACCACATTTTCATTCTTTTTCATTTGTTGAGGGTCACTAAGACCAATCATAATGTAGTCCCTCTTTGCATGATAAGATATTTAAATAGATCACCTGAAAGTTCCCTGCATATTTTAGATGCTTACAAACAGTTTGAAGCTTCTGTTTGCCACACTGTGGCTAATAACTGTTCATTGCTGCCAATTCTAGGCTTCAAATGATAGCACAGGCTTGATTTCATTGATAGGATATCAACTGTGACAATAAGACAGAGAGGTGGTCTTCTTCTTTGCATCTTCTCCTGCCATGTTTACCACAACAAATATAATCTCTGCATGCCTGCTATCCTAGAAGTTGTCCACTGAGAGTTTACCAGTGACCACTTTTTCATTCTGAGGGCCTGAGTCAAGTGATGTTCATTTCAATGCTTGGAGATCTGATCATAACTTGAGATGATTCACAGTCCAACCCACAGAAGCCAATGTGACAATAGAAGTGATGATGGCAGATCACTCCATGTGAATGAACCAGGTGATTCACACGTTGACAGGCAGTTATCAGTCTAGATTGAGAGTAGGTACACAGCCAAATGATGCTCTCACTGATGTATTAAAAGGTATTGCTCTAAGAGATTTCAACACATGTTTCACTAAAGATATGTGCAAGAATTTTAATAAATATGTGTAAAGAGAAACACTTTAGTTAGAATCTCAACTACAATGAATGTGATTATAGTTTCACACTCCACATTCGTGGTGTCCAAATTCACTGAAAGTTGCCCCAGCTTGTTAGCACTTACTTGAAAACTGCAGTAAATGTGCTACAATTAGGGTGACTTTCAGCGGAGAAACATTGCAGGACTCACACAAAGTAAGTAATATCAAATACACAGATGAGACTGCCCCAAAGAGTAATAGTTATTGATGAAATCAGTGCTTCTATTTCAAGTAATCTAATTGTGCTTTATTGGCTATACCCGAGCATGGTCGACACGGTCTAAGGCGCTGCGTTCAGGTAGCAGTCTCCCCTGGAGGCTTGGGATCAAAACCCACTTCTGCCATTTGGTTCCTTTGCTGCACCTCTGTTGAGGCGATATTGGTCTGTTTCTGAGAGCTTGTTAAAAGAAATGCATAGCTTTTGCAATTGGCAACCATAACTTTGAGACAGCTAGTCAGGATGGCCGAGCGGTCGTAAGTGTTAAGGTCGCAGTCTCCTCTGGGGGCGTGGGTTCAAATCCCACTTCTGACATGCACTTTGTTGAGGGTCACTAAGACCAATCATAATGTAGTCCCTCTTTGCATGATAAGATATTTAAATAGATCACCTGAAAGTTCCCTGCATATTTTAGATGCTTACAAACAGTTTGAAGCTTCTGTTTGCCACACTGTGGTTAATAACTGTTCATTGCTGCCAATTCTAGGCTTCAAATGATAGCACAGGCTTGATTTCATGGCACTGTGTGTAGACGGTTGCCAAGGGAACCAACTCCGCTGCTTTGTTGTGGTGTTGCCGAAATACCGGAGCAGGGTCCCTAAGTGAAGCCTATACATTTCTGAAACAAAGTACATGGAAATACGTTCAGACTTTTTATGTAGTTGTGGCCGAGTGGTTAAGGCGATGGACTTGAAATCCATTGGGGTACAGGGAATAGCAATGGTGACAATCTTCCTCAATGAAACTTCATGTGCATTAATTGCTGTTCACAGTTGTTACATACCTGCATGAGAATTGAACAAATGGAATGCTTTTCATTCTGAGTAACCTGAATTTTCATATTTTTATTGCTGTTGCTGAAAGGTATCAAAGCTTTCAGAAAATCACATTAAAACTGAAATATATGTGAAACAATCGGGGTAACACCCAGAGATACATTGCAGCAGTCACAGAAGACAGTAAAGTCAAATACACAGAGGAGACCGCCCCAACGAGAAGCACTCATGTATGTATTGTAAATCAAGTTGCTCCTATTTGAAGTAATCGAATTGTGGTTTCTTTTGAAAGTATTGGATGTTGTCCAAACTGTTTAACGTTTAATACATTGTAAACAAATATATGGTATCTTTAGTTGCTTGAATCACCCAAAAATCACCCCAACAAATAGTACTTACCATTCAGGAAGGTCAGAGCCATTGATAGGATATCGACTGTGACAATAAGACAGAGAGGTGGTCTTCTTCTTTGCATCTTCTCCTGCCATGTTTACCACAACAAATATAATCTCTGCATGCCTGCTATCCTAGAAGTTGTCCACTGAGAGTTTACCAGTGACCACCTTTTCATTCTTTTTCATTTGTTGAGGGTCACTAAGACCAATCATAATGTAGTCCCTCTTTGCATGATAAGATATTTAAATAGATCACCTGAAAGTTCCCTGCATATTTTAGATGCTTACAAACAGTTTGAAGCTTCTGTTTGCCACACTGTGGCTAATAACTGTTCATTGCTGCCAATTCTAGGCTTCAAATGATAGCACAGGCTTGATTTCATGGCACTGTGCATAGACGGTTGCCAACGGAACCAACTCCGCTGCTTTGTTGTGGTGTTGCCGAAATACCGGAGCAGTGTCCCTAAGTGAAGCCCATACATTTCTGAAACAAAGTGCATGGAAATACGTTCAGACTTTTTACGTAGTTGTGGCCGAGTGGTTAAGGCGATGGACTTGAAATCCATT